TGGCATGTTCTCATAACTGTCTTCTCTTGTCATTTCTACAAGGTTGCTGCTGAGAGCATCAAAATTCATCAAGCCATTAATGATGGTACTGTCAATTTGGTTGACAAGGTAGGCACCAAGATCAATTTTCTAAAGAAGTTTAGCTCAGCAAATCACTTTCTAATGCTACTGTTCACTTTGGCAGTTCTTTGAGATGCAACGCCATGATGCTATGAGAGCTCTGGATATATACAGGAAAGCCGGGCAGCAGGTATATCTTTTCTTTTTAGCAGTTAACTGTCCTGGTGATATTTCATCTATTTTGTCCTCAGAGTATATGAAGAGGATTTCTAATTCATAAAATTTTAAAAAATCTGGATCTTCAGGCTGAGAGGTTGTCAGAATTCTATGAAGTGTGTAAAAGTGTTGATGTTGGTCGTGGAGAAAGGTTTATAAAGATTGAGCAGGTTTGAGTTTTGTCATTCTGATCCCTTGGAATACTTTGTAGCTGTACTTAATGGAGGTTTTGTTGATGAATGTCTTTTTTCTTATGAAGCCCCCTGCATCATTTCTTCAAGCTATGGAAGAATATGTGAGAGAAGCTCCACGCTTTTCAACAGCTCGGAAGGAGCAGGTATAAAAGTATTCTTTGTTTGACTATTTTTAATGAGGTGGAAATGTACATATGGAGGTACACCCTTGTACACCACATGGTATGCAAAGCAAAGTTTGCACTAAGCTATTGGATTTGCTCATGAATGTTCTTAAGAGAAATGCTATGATAATACTTGTTGAAAATAGGTGGTGGCAAATTGATGTCTATGGACTGTTTTGTTTTTGCATTGGTTCGCTGGATTAAAATGCAAATATTAATGGTATTAACTAGTAACATAATGGATATATATGCATATATTTTTGAAGTTAGGCTAAAATATTATCAACACCATCTTCTGCCATCTAAGGGATTGGGGTGTTGGGGCTCATCCTTCCTGAAACAATAATCTTCAGTTGTATTTTTCCTTAACTGCCATATAACATTATATTCTTCATTTTCTAGAAGAAAAGGAGGAAGATTGAGCTTGAGTGTTCTTGGGATTTTGGATGAGTTAAAAGCTCTTGTATTTTTTCCAGTGACTGATAAAACCACATAACCTTTTCTTTAGTATATATTTACATAGCTGAAAACCTTCTAAAACAAATTAGAACCATGTCTTATTACCTCTCCTTATGGTCGATATAAGCAAACCAGAACCAAGGGAGGCATGCCTCCGTATCCCCCCTTTCCTTGTGGATGGTATTAATTATCTGCTAGTTGATCCAAACAACTGTGTTGTTGAAGTGTTCTGTATACAGATATGAACAAATATACAAAGGGTGATTTTATTCATCATGCGGACTTGCTATTTATAATGTTATGACCAATAGGGTTTTAGTCTAACCTTAAGTTCTAGAATTCTAATGATACAGAATATAGCATTAATTATATACACGAATTATAATACAATTAAATATGAGATGTAGTCATCCTTTTATCCCTTTTATTCTGAAGTATCAGATGATCTTTACTTTTGAACAAAGGACAGTGCTTTCTTTTGATGTCAGAAATCTGACAGCATTAAAGTTGGGTATCTATGCAAGTTTTCATTTGGCCACTGATTCATGTTCCAGTTTTATTGAGTTTTAACTATTTTCTGTAAATTTTTCTTGGTGCAATTGCCATATTCATGGATCTTTTCAGCATGCATTTTTGCTTTGTTTTCCCTTAAGGTTATATTATCCACCATTTTGTATTTAATTTTTATTTTATAAACAAGCAGGTTCTTGACAATAAAACGTCTCCCTCCAAGGAAGTTTTGGCCATAGAACACAAAAAGACCCCCGAGGTGCAGGAGGCAACTCCGCCATCGCCTCCTCTACCTGAACCAGTAAAAGAGGAACCACCTGTTGTTAAACAACCTGATTCGTTGGTAAATAGTCTTTCCAAAATC